TCGAGTAAGGATTGTTTTGAACCCGGGGGGCGTACCCTTGGATAGCATTGATGTCGTAGGGGACTCCTTCAAGATTTGGATCGTAGGCCGACACCATATAATTCGGACATTTGTGGCCTCCATGGCCGGCCTCTCCACAACAACCGCACACCTCGGCCATCACCACTTGGGTCGACTTTGCATCCCTTAGCCGGAGTTGTTTGAGCTCTTCCTCCAAAGTGGCTAACTTAGCAAGCACGGCATCGTTCGAGGACCCGGGTGATGGTGTAGCCTCATTCACGGGGGCCCTCTTACGAACGCTCTTTCTTTGCGAATTTTCACTCAACATCTCATACAAATTGTAGATTTCCTCCTCCGTGTGGCTCCCTATGTCTCCACCGGCCGCATGATCGACCATGTATTGAAGAGTTTGGTAGAGACCATCGTAGAAGAATTGGTTGAGGACTCCGAGGCAAAAATGGTGATGTGGGCATTGGAGTTGATAGCCCTTGAATCTCTCCCAAGCCTCGTGAAAAGTTTCACCGATGTTTTGGCTAAAGCTAGCCATTTGGGTCTGGAGATCGGTAGTCTTTTGATGCGAGTAGTACTTTCCCATGAACTTTTCATACACGGCTTCCCAATTTGTGAGTGAATTCGGGAGCAAGGTCATGAACCAAGTCTTGGCTCGATCTTTCAACGTGTAGGGAAAGCATCTAATCCGGAGTTGGTTTTCGGTTAAGCCTTGGAGTGGGAATGTGTTAACTGTTGCATAGAAGTCTCGGATGAGTTGAGGGCATCCTCTTGAGCTAGGTCGTAGAATGATGGAAGTTGGTTTAGGTGGATGGTCTTGAGATCATAATTTCGGGCCGCCTCCCCGAGCACGAGGCACGAGGTGTTGTCTCCAATAATCGGTCGTGCAAAGTACAACATGTTCGGGGGAGGTGGTGGTGGCAATTGGTCTTCATGTCCCGCCATTGATTCGGTTTCGGGCTCGGGTTGAGGCTCGTCTATGTTGAGTTCAACGAAAAGGTCGATTGATGGGGTCTCCTCTCGAGGTGCGCGCCTTCATCTACCTCGCATAAACAAAAACAACAACTACACCCGGTGAACGTATCAATGGGAAACGAGATAAAGACACAAGCAACAAAAACAATTAAGCGACAAAAAGCGTGAGAAATAAAGAGAAACACGGAAATTAACCAAGGTTCACAAAAATCAAGAGAAACACGAGAAAAAGAGACAATCAA